AACCAGAGGAAAACAGGCAGAAGAACCGGTGAGAAACAGGAAAGGGAAATTTACTTCCAGTTAGAAGAGGCTTTGGGGGGACAGTTGTCTTGCAGCTAAATAAAGGGAAGAGAAGAGCCACATGGTGGTGGCTCATGCCTTTAATCCCAGCACTCGGGAGGCAGAGGCAGGTGGATTTCTGAGTTCGAGGTCAGCCTGGTCTACAGATCGAGTTCCTGGACAGTCAGAACTACACAGAGAAACCCTGTCTTAGAAAATCAATACATAAATAAATGATGGATGGATGGATGTTCTTCCTTGGTGCCAAGGCTTGTAGTGCCAAGGAAGTTGCTTCTACGAGAGTGGGGTGGGGGAGTCTCCACTTAGTACCGGGGAAGCCTACTGGGGACTGGGGGGATTGCTACTGCTCAGGCTCAGTCTCCATTTGCTTGGCAAAGTTATTTGCCTATCAACCCTCTGGTTCTGTGGGAGGACTTTCCAGAGTTATCCAGCAGGACCAGTGGCTCTGTATTTTAAAGTATAGTTGCCAGCATGGTGGCACATACTTTTAATCTCAGCACTCCAGAGTTAGAAGTAGGCATATCTCTGTGATTTTAAGACTAGCCTGGTCTACATAGCAACTGCTAGACCAGTCAAGGCTACATGTGAGACCCGTTTAAATACTAACAATAATAAAAACAATGACAATTAAAAAAAAAAAAACAACCGAGAAAGCCAACAACTCAGAAATGAACCAATCATTGGCTATGCCATTTCCAGGTATGTATCCAAAGGACACAGATATACTCACACATCCATGTTTGTTTGTTTATTTATTTATTTATTTATTTATTGGATTTCTGAGACAGGGTTTCTCTGTGTAGCCCTGGCTGTCCTGGAACTCACTCTGTAGACCAGGTTGGCCTCAAACTCAGAAATCCACCTGCCTCTGCCTCCCAAGTGCTGGGATTAAAGGCGTGCGCCACCACCGCCCGGCCACATCCATGTTTATTATAGTGCTATCCACAACAGCAAAGTCACGGAATGCCAGGCGTTCATCAGTGAGTGTATGGACAGAGAAAATGTGGAACAAATATATATATATATACACACGTATATGCATATGTGTATGTATATATACACAGATGCACCTATAAAGGAGGGAAATTAAACAAAATTAAAAAAAAAAAAGAATGAGGGCTGGAGGTGTGGCTCAGATGGTAGAGCGCTTGCCCAGGATATGTGAAGTTCTGATCTCCACAGGAAGAAGTTCCTGCAATCGGCAGAGCATGGACAGCTTGGGTAAGCCCAGAGAAGTCACCCAAACTCAAAGCAAGGTCTTCACCATGATGCCAAGCACTGGGGTTCACATTAAAATACTTCAGATGCAGGTTATGTTGATGTCCAAGGTTTGTGTTACCACTAAAGGCCATTTGTCTGTCTGTAGTGTGTGCTGCCACTGAAGGCTATGATGGTGTCTGGGGCAGGGTAGGAGAGGGGTGCAGGCATGCTGCAGCAGAGGGTGGAGTTGATGTTTTCGGACTTTTTTGTCAAAGACTATGTTGAGGTCTGTGACACATGCTTATGTTGAAGACCATGTGGATGTCTGGGGTCTACAATGTCGACAGAAACCGTGTGGAAGACCATGAACTGTGTTCCCGCTGACTGTAAAGGGCAAGGACGCTACTTCTGCAGTTGTATTGATGACTGCAGACTCACAGTTGAGTATGAAAGACATAGAAAGCTTCTGTGACAAGTCCTACCCCGACCCTGTCCCTAAAACGTAACAGCCTAGACAGGAAACCATCAAAGAGATTTCTTAAAAATTGTGATAAAGATGCTGAAGTGTAGCCGGGCGGTGGTGGCGCATACCTTTAATCCCAGCACTTGGGAGGCAGAGGCAGGCGGATTTCTAAGTTCGAGGCCAGCCTGGTCTACAGAGTGAGTTCCAGGACAGCCCGGGCTATACAGAGAAACCCTGTCTCGAAAAAAACAAAACAAACAAACAAAAAAAAAGATGCTGAAGTGTAACTTTACAAAATTGATGGCTTCTGGTTAGGGTGCAGGTGGGAAAGGACTCAGATTTCTTTTAAGAGGCTGGCCACTGAGAGTGTGACCATGCTCTTTAACTTATGTTTTGGGTTTTGGTTGTCAGTGCTGCTGCTTCCTCTTCTTCGTCCTCCTCTTCCTCCTCTTCTTCCTCCTCCTCTCCCTCTTCTTCCTCTTCTCCTCCTCCTTCATTTTTAAGGGGAGGTCACAGGGTTGGGGTTGGCAGACCTCAGAGAACAGGGATGTGGAATTCCCAAATAATCAGTAAAAATATTATGCTGGAAAAAATACATCAGATGCTAGATGAGAGGGCATTTCTTGCTTTGTGTTTTTTTGTTTTGTTTTGTTCTGTTTTTCTTTTTTTTTTTTTTTTTTTTGGTTTTTCGAGACAGGGTTTCTCTGTATAGCCCGGGCTGTCCTGGAACTCACTCTGTAGACCAGGCTGGCCTCGAACTCAGAAATCCGCCTGCCTCTGCCTCCCGAGTGCTGGGATTAAAGGCGTGCGCCACCACCGCCCGGCTTGTTCTGTTTTTCAAGACAGGGTTTCTCTGTGTAGTTCTGGCTGTCCTGGAACTCACTCTGTAGATCAGGCTGGCCTCGAACTCAGAAATCTACCTGCCTCTGCCTCCCAAGTGCTGGGATTAAAGGCATGCACCACCACCACCCGGCACTTTGTGTTTTTTTTGAGACAGGGTTTCACTATGTGGCTGCTCCCAGCCTAGAACTCAAAGGAATCCACCTGGCTCTGCTTCCTGTCTGCTAGGATTAAAAAGTATGTGCACCACACCTGGCTCAGGCTGATCTTTTTGTTTGTTTGTTTGTTTTTGTTTTTTTGAGACGGGTTCTCTGTTTAGCCCTGGCTGTCCAGGAACTCACCCTGTAGACCAGGCTGGCCTCAAACTCAGAAATCCGCCTGCCTCTGCCTCCCAAGTGCTGGGATTAAAGGCGTGCGCCACCACTGCCCGGCCAGGCTGATCTTTTTATGTAATATATTTTTATTTATACAGGTTTTGTGCCTGTGTGTACATCTGTGCACTACATGCACACCTAGGCCCACATTGGATCCCCTGAAACCTGTACAGAAAGTTGTGAGCCATCATGGGGCTGCTGGGAATAAAACTTGGGTCTCCTGGAAAAGCAGCCAGTCTCTTAACTACCGGGCAATCTCTCCAACCCTGCTGAAATCTTAAGACCATCGACGAGTGGATACAGGTTTCTTCCTATGCTTGCCATAACTTGTCAGTCAGGTTAGCCATGAAACTAGATCATATCTCAATGACCTTGTAAGCTAGTGGTTCTCAACCTGTGGGTCACAACCCCTCTGGAGATCAAACCACCCTTTCACAGGGGTCACATATCAGATATCCTACATACTAGACATTTACATCATGATTCATAACAGTAGCAACATTTCAGTTATAAAAGTGGCAACAAAAATAATTTTAGGGTTAGGGGTCACCACAGCCTAAGGAATTGTATTAAAAGGTCTCAGCACCGGGAAAATTGAGAACCACTGCTTCAGGCCCTTCATGACCAGGCTGCTTCTGCCTCAGTGCTGCTTCAAAACCATGTCTTGGTCATACTTATGGAGCCACAAGGGGTTCATGGCTGGTTCTGGCAGAAGACTGCTGTGTCTATCCCAGTCAATTTTGGACATACAGATGCAACTAGAACCCTAAAAGGACAGACATCTGATGAAAGGGAGAGCTCTGAGAAGTGGCTCCTGGGGATCAGTCGTAGGGCTGGATTTCCTAGTTACCACCTCTCTGGGGTCTGCTCATCAGCACACTTCTTTCCAGCCTTTCCTTACTTATCCTTCTAGTACCATTGGAATCTTCCAGATCACAGGCCATTAGGTTCCTGATGGTGCTGTCTCAGAGGTGTCAACTGTCACCAACAGCATCAAGCCTGCTTGCTTCCTACTACCAAGGACCTCTCAGCCTTCATCATAGTCCAGCCTTCAGTCCCTCATAACAACTCTCTCCCACTACAAACTGCCTGCAGAACCATCTATGCCTTATAGTTAATTTCACAACCCTACGGCAGATCACTAAGGCTGACAAGGGCCCCTCCATGCCTCTGTTCAGAAGCGCCACATTAGCTTCGTCCCTTGTCAAAGATTTGGTTGTTCATCTGTGAGGAACTAGCGTGGGGAGGAGCAAGATGAGAGCTGAACAAAAATTCTCACACTATAACAATCAGACCACTGGTTCAGGGCCGGGCGGTGGTGGCGCACGCCTTTAATCCCAGCACTTGGGAGGCAGAGGCAGGTGGATTTCTGAGTTTGAGGCCAGCCTGGTCTACAGAGTGAGTTTGAGGACAGCCAGGGCTACACAGAGAAACCCTGTCTCAAAAAACCAAACCAAACAAAACAAAACAAAGAATGTCAATCCAGACCACTGGTTCGAGCTTGAATGTTTATACAAACATTCGAAGTCTAAACCCCAATACTCCATGTTCCCTACATGGACAAGTATGGTCTGACCCCTGCAGAACAGCTGAAGTCACTGCGTTTTCCATATTGTTGCTGTAACATGCCTGCCAGTCATTGACACAGAGAAGGGACTTGGCTCAAGGACACGCTGATCACATCCCCTGTTAAGTTCTGAATGAGGTTTACTAATCTTAGCAAATTCCACAAAGCTTTATGTAGGACTCATCGAAGATGAGTATGAACTGTTAACTGGCTCGAGTCAGAGCTAACCACTGGGCAGCACTTCCTGCACCTATGTATGAGCTCACTGTGATTTTTGTGACTGATACTGAAGAATGCTATAAGCCAAAAAGTTATGATTATAATATTCATGCTGTTGTCCCAATGTTCTAAAACTCCCATGTTCATCACCCATCCACCACCCCCTTACCTTACTCAGGACCAATAAGCGTAAAGGTTAGCTGATAATACTTTGCTTAGTAAGTCAACTGCTCCCCTCCTTACCCTTTAAAAAAGAAAAAAAGAAAAAGACCAGAAATAAGTTGTAAGTTTTAATCGACTCCCATTATGATGAATTGTTACAATTCTTGTATTTTATAACTATTGTGGTTAATCTCTTACTGTGCCGAATTTATAAATTAACACTTTATCACAGGTATATTGTACATGTGGAAAATAGAACATGTGGGGCTCACTGCTTCCCAGTTCCGGGTGCCCGCTGGGGGTCATGAAACACACCCCCTCAGATGAGGAGCCACTGTACAAAGCCACAAGAGTGTTGTATTTTTGACAAACCACATTCCTTAACACAACAGGAAAAAAATACAAATGTCTCTGAACAAATTAGAAAAACCCAACCTTCTGATTAAACTATGAATTTAATTTCTGTCACTATATCAAATTATCATGGCTGCTTTCTCCACACATTGTTAATTCCCACAGCTAGAGCGAGGAAAAATAATTTTTAACAATCAGGTTTTTTTTTTTTTTTTTAGACCACTTTATTGAAGCAACGCTATAATCCGGTGAGGAGAGTTTTTTATTCCTTGAGATAGGGTGTTGCCACAGCCCAGGCTGGCCTTGAACTCGTGACTCTCTTGCTTTGTCACAGAAGTACAGATAACAGGCATGTACCACCAATCAAGCAAAATTACTTTTTTTCACTTAATACTAGGCAGCTATGACAGTCACTGGTGACCTCTGAGGAGTAGCCCAAACACTAGATTTCTTGAGCTCATCTACACGAGAAACCTGACTCCCACATGCAGCTCCAACTGAGAGCCACTGTCTTAAGATTGCAGCAATGGCCCCTCACTGAGCATGCCCAGCAGCTGATGCTCTTCCCTCTGAACTCAAGTGGCCATGAAGACCTGGTTCTAAGGCCAACTGCTCTGGGCTCACTCAGGCTGCCTCTGCTCTAGTGCTCGTTCCCATGGAGACCACAGCTGAGTCACCACTGAGCAGCCAGTCACGTCTGGCACGAGTCTGCTATGGTCATGATCTGTGTGGCTTAGCACTTTTAAGGCACTCAGAGCTCGCTATAGATGGTTTAACCCTGACACCCAGGACTTGCTCACCCTTGGCTGCATGCGAGGAACTTGAACTCAACAAAGCTATAGAGCCAAGACCCCATCCTCAACCTAGGAAATTCCATTCTCTGGATGTTGGTCCTGAAGCTCTTGAGTCTGGCAATGTAGCTCAGTGGTAGAACATTTGTCTGGGATACTCAGGGTCCTGGGTTCAATCCCCATAGTATAGGAAAACTGAACTCCTCATATGAGGACCTTGTATTACAATGCCAGTTTCTCGATTTAATAGCTTATATTTAGTTCCCAATCACAGGATATCTCTGTTTCTATCTCTGAATCTATCCCTGATAAAGCCAAGACAGAAGCAATTAAAAGTCACATTCTTAAGTCATGACTTCAGGCTTAAGAACATTTTCATCAAGAGTGTAAACTGCCAGAACTGGGAAACACCTGTAATCCCAGCACACAGGAGGCTGACATAGGAGGACTGGTGTGATTTAAAGACCAGCCTGGGCTGCATAATGAGTTCTGGTCTGGGGTGCAGACTAAGACCTAGTTGTAACATCCCCCAAAGAAGAAAAGAAAGAGAAAAAGATTACAATCTAAACAAACCCAGGCCCACACCAGCCCACTGACCCCAGCCTAGGTGTCTATCGAGTTCCAGGTGACCCTTCAAACCAGACAAGCCTGGAAACACTCCAATGTTTCTCCAAACAGTTAACAGCCAGGCCTAATGTGGACGGCCTGTAATCCCAGGCCCTCCAGAAGCTGAGGCAGGAGGATTCCACCTGGACAACTTAGTGAGACCCAGTCTTAAAAGAAAAAACACAAAAGAGGGCTAGGGGTGGAGCTCAGCTCAGTGATAGAGCACTTGCCCAGCATGCACGGGGCCTTAGGTTCAATCCCCCTGCGCCTCCCCCAAAATCAAAGAGTGAAGACATTCTGACTGAAGAACAGGAACATTGTGTTTTCTCATGACCCACATGAGGACTGCTGGGAAAGATTCAAAATCCTCTCTGCTGACTCCGTCCTTGGAGAGCAGGGTGCTCTGGGGAGGGGCAGTGCTCTGTTACAGCTCCGTCTTAAGCTTTTCATACAGGTCGTCCTGATCAATCATGTCGTCATTGCCGTTCCAGCGGTGGTAGGCAAGGAGAGCGGCGTTGTAGCCAGCAATGGCGCTCATCTCCATGCAGCTGGCGGCAAACTCAATGCCGTTGAGGTAATAGAGCCGGTCGTGGAGGATGATGGAGGGACACTTCTGAGGAGGCTCATAGTGAGGATAGGACAGCCATGGCTTCCGCACAGCATAATCGTAGGACAGGAAGAGCTTTGAAATTTGTTCTTTGGTGAGGATGTCCCTGGAGAAGGTCTTCCACACATGCATGCCATCCACCGCCGGTGGGGGACCCTCCTTGTGTCTTACAGAGCCCACAATGGACAGGCTGTTAATAAACATCTCTGAGTCTTCAGTGACAAGAATCGCAGAGAGGCCAAACTGATCCTTGGGTCTGGAGCTGAAGAGAGTGGAATTGAGTTCTCCTTTGATGAAAGTTGTCACCAGGTGTTGATACGGATCGTTGAATTCCTCAATGGGTGGATCAAAATTTCGGAAAGTTATGTTGGCCATCTTCCTGTTCAATGGAGCAGCCACGAGGACAATGTCGTAGAAGTCAGAGTGGGTCTCAGATCCTGTTTTATATACCACTTCGTACATCTTTGTGGGGTTTCCTAGAGGGCACGGACAAGCACGCAGCTCTTAGTGCTAACACTCAATTTCAGGCCTTCTACAAATAATTCTATAGCATTTTTGGTCTTCTTTGTGTACGTGTACAAGTGTATGTTTGTATTTGGAGGCCAGAGGCTAACCTCAAATGTCATCCCCCGCAGGAGTTGTCTATCTTGGGTTCCGTCTTTCTCTTTTTTTTAAGATTTATTTATTTGGGTTGGAGAGATGGCTCAGCAGTTAAGAGTGCTGACTACTCTTCCAAAGGTTCTGAGTTCAATTCCCAGAAATCCCACGGTGGCTCATTACCATCTGTAATGGGATCCAATGCTCAGTTCTGGTGTGTCTGAAAACAATTACAGTGTGTACTCTTTTTTTTTTTGGTTTTTTCCAGACAGGGTTTCTCTGTATAGCCCTGGCTGTCCTGGAACTCACTCTGTAGACCAGGCTAGCCTCGAACTCTCGAACTCAGAAATCTGCCTGCCTCTGCCTCCCAAGTGCTGGGATTAAAGGCGTGCGCCACCACCACCCGGCCAGTGTGTACCTTATAAATAAAGTAAATCGTAAAAAAAAAAAAGATTTATTATTATTTATAGAAATATTTGTCCATATGTATGTCTCTGTACCAAGTACATGCCTGGTACCTGTGGCGGCCAGAAAAGGGGTCAGATCCACTGGAACTGAAGTTACAAGCCACTGTGAGCTGCCATGATGGTGCTGGGAACTGAACTGAGGTTCTTTCAGCAAGTGCTTGTAACACTGAGTCATCTCTCCAGCCCCCCACCTTGTTTCTCTCTCACTGTAGCTCACTAACAAGGCTAAGCTGGCTACCAGTGAACCTCAAGGATTCCCCAGCCTCTACTCCCCACCACACCCCCTACCCGGCATCACAATTACAAGCACTTGACAAAATGCCCAGCTTTGTATGTGGGTGCTGGGATAAAAGTCAAGCTCCCGTGCTTGCACGGCAAGCATGTTACAAAAGGACTCTCATCTTCCTCACCCTGCTTGTGTTTTTGAGACAGTGTCTCTCTCATGTTGCTCAGGCTGCCTTCAAACTCACTACATTGCCAAAGATAACCTTCAACTTCTGATTCTCCTGCCTACACTTCTGGAGTACTGGGATGGTAAGGTCGGTGCCATCACCTAACTTCTTCAATTCTGCAGGTCAAACCCATGGCTTCATGCATGCTAGGAAAGTGCTCTACCAACTAAGATATACACCCAGCCTACTATGATTTGTGTGTGTAGGGGGGGTGAGCACACAGGTATATATGCACAGCTATGTACGTACGTGTATGCATATGGGTATGCACACAAAGACTAGAGGAGTGCATGGGGTGTGCTATTCTATTGCTTTTTGCCTTATTCCCTTGAGACAAGGTCTCTTATTAACCTGTAGTTAGCAGCAAGTCCCAGCATTATTTGTCTATACTCTTTACAGTACTGGGATTCCAGGTGTACACAAGGGTCATCTAGCTTTTCGAAGCATGGGTACTAAGGATTTGAACTCAGGTCCTCATGTTTCTGCAGCAGGTGCTCTTACCAACTGAGCCATCACCCTAGTCCAGAAAATCTATTCTTCTGGCATCTTTTACAAAGTTCCCAAACAGTAGAACTTCACACTGCTCATGCAGAAATGTTCCCAGCTGTGCTAAAGGGCATGACCATGGCTCATGGGATATGGAAAAAAACCTCATCTTCAAAGAGAATGTTCCACGTTTTGTTCTTACTGAATAGAAGCTATGAGAAGTTATAGAATTGTGGGACTTGAGTTCAAATCCCCATTACCCGTGCAACAACGACAAGCTAGTTTTTTTTTTTGGGGGGGGGGGTGGTGGTAGGTTTGGTTTTGGTGGTGACAACTTTAATCCCAGCATTCAGGAGGCAGAGGCAGGTGGATTTCTATAAGTTCAAGGCCAACCTGGTCTATACAGTGAGTTCCAGGACAGCCAGAGTTAGATAGAAAAGCCCTATCTTTAAAAAAAAAGGGGGGGGGGGAGGAAGGGTGGATAGATGGCTCAGTGGTTAAGAGCACTGGATGTTCTAGCAGAGGGCCTAGACTGGATTTCCAGCATCTACATGGTGGTTCATAACCATCTGTAACTCCATTTCCAAAGCATCTGAGGCCCTCTTTGGCCCTGAGGGTACTCCATGCCTATAGTACACATATACACAATAAAACATACCTACACACATGAAAGAAAAAATCACGTGAGGGAGCTGGAGAGATGGCTCAGAGGTTAAGAGCACTGGCTGTTCTTCCAAAGGACCCGAGTTCAATTCCCAGCAACCACATGGTGGCTCACAACCACCTGTAATGAGATCTGATGCCCTCTTCTGTCTTGCAGACATACATGCAGGTAGAATGGTGTATATATAATAAATAAATCTTTTAAAAAATGTTTTTTAAAGAAAAAATTGTGTATGTATGCATGTGAGATTTTCTCCTAGAACTGTTTAGTGGTTTGTTTTGTTTTGTTTTTTGTTTTTTGCAAGAATAATGGAAAAATCAAAGTTCAGCCTCACCTGTCTGTTTGGCCCTTGTCTTCTCCTCGATTGACATTACAGAACCAGATATAAGATTGCTGCTAGAGGCCTGAAGGAGCCCTGAGCAAACAATTTTATTACCGCCTTCCACTGCCCAAAGGTTGGAATCGGCAGCCGTCATCGACACCGCTCCTGTCAGGAGGGAGCAAACACATGCTTTAATTGTCTTAGTCAGGTAAGTCGCCTGATCCTGACCACTTAGATATCTGCCCCAAATGCTTCCAGACACTGTCAGATGACCCTCAGGGGCAAAGGTCTTGATCAACTGAAAGGCACTGGAACTAACAGAAGCACAGGCCCTTCTACTGCTAACAAATCACAGATAGAAATAAACTATGTCAGTAAAAATGCCTGAGACACTAAGAAATCAGACTTCCCACCAGTGGCTCAGCCCCTTAGCTCTGGCTATCCCTGGTTTCCTCCAATTCTGACTTACCCACAAAGGCGTTGAGGTCGGTGCTTTGGCCAAAATTGACCTTCATGACAGGAGCGATCATCTCGTTGAGGAACGTCTCAGAGAAACCTGCTCTCTTCAGGTTTTCACGGAGAGTTTGGTTAAGCAGTTTGACATAGTCATCCCCTCCGATGGCGTGCATCAACTTTTCTACACTGCTGAAGGCATAGTCATGGGACTGGTAACGATAGATCCTTGTGAAAAAGAGAAACAGCCATTAAACGCCACTCGGGACATGGAGCTACAAACAGCATCAGAAAAAGGCAACTGATACCAGGCTTTGCAAATGGCAGGACACCCTGGAATACACAGTGAAACTCTAAATAATAATAATAATAATAATAATAATAATAATAATAATGGGGCTAGAAATATGGCTCAACAGTTAAGAGCATTTGCTGCTCTTGCAGAGGACTTGGGTTCTTGTTTTGTTCTGTTTGAGACAGAGTTTCTCTGTGTAGCCCTGGATGTTCCAGAACTCCCTCGGTAGACTAGACTGGCCTCAAACACAGAGATCTGCTTGCCTCTGCCTCCCAAGTGCTAAAAGTAAAGGTTTGTGCCACCACCACCTGATTTAGGACTAAGTTCTGTTCCCAGCACCCACATGGCAGCTCACAATCATCTGTAATTCTTTTGCTTTTGATGAGTTCCTACCAGTCAGCTGGGGCACAGCCCGGTCTCATCTTTCTCGGCCCCCTGCTCCCCTCTGCCTTCCACCTCAAGACATCTGTGCTCTTAAACATGCTCAATGGGACATTTTCAAAGAGGCGTGCATGTCTTGGGGATATAGCTGAGCTGACAGAGCGCCTATCTAGCTCACACAAAGTCCTGGGACTAACTGCCCCCAGCATCACATAAAACTGGGCATGGCAGTGCACACCTGTAATCCCAGCCCTCAGAGGAGGTGTCAACAGGACAGTCAGAAGTTCACGGTCATCCTCAGCTACACACAAGCTCAAGGTCCTGCCTGGGCTAACGCAATATGCCTTGTCCTTATTCTTCATTCTTCAGTTCTATCGGCACCAGGCTCAATCCTCCCCACCTGCCCTGCCCCTACCAAACATCACCCTCCACGTTAACCGTGACAAAGCTGCCTTCTCTCACCAGCAGGAGAGCCTGTGGACCTTCCTAAAGTCTTTACTCACTCCATTCCCAGTTCCATGATCAAGGAAAGGATTTACACCCAGACTAGTAAAACGAATAACTGACCTACCTGCCTCTGTTTTAGTTCCTTAAAATAAAATTTTTGTATTACCCGTAAGCCCTAAAAAGTTTGTCTTTGGTTAATATTAATACCAAAATTAGTATTTCTCACTTACAAGTCTAGAATGCTTAATCTGACATTAAAAGAAAGAAACAGGGATGGCAAGATGGCTCAGCAGGTAAGATGCACTTTGCCTTACAACTTGATGACTTGAGTTTAATGCCGAAAGCCCATGTGGAAAGAGAACGGACTCACAAAAGCTGCCCTCTGGGGCATGCTGGGCACAAGTGTACCCACTTTCCCATCAAATACAACACACAATAATACTAAAATAAAATTTAAAAAAGAAAAATACTTTTTTACACTGGGGCTCGAGCTGTATCTCTATCGTGACAAGATCCCCAACTCCTGACTTGGGGTTCATTGGGAGTGTTGACACCAAGTCTCAAGCAGCTCACAATGACCTCAAGTTCACTATGAGCTGAGGTTAACCTTGAACTCATGATGCTCCTCCTCCCTCCATGCCCAAGCCCTGTGGTTACAGGAATGAGCCACATCTGACTCCCCAGCCTGTTTTTACTACTACTTGGCTGTCCAGGTTGACCTTGACCTCGCTGTTGACCAGATCACTTTACAATGACATCCTTAGGCCTCAGCCACCAAAGTATCCAGGATTACAGGCCTGTGCTACTAGACCCAGCATGTAATAACTTCATTTTCTTTCTTTAAAGACATGGTCTCACTATGCAGCCCTTGCAGGCCTGGAATTCACTAAGTAGAACAGGTTAGTTCTGAATTCATAAAGACCTGCCTGCCTCTGATTCCCAAGAGCTGGGATTACGGAAGTGGGCCACCATATCCAGCTTGTTGGGTTGTTAGTTTTTGTTTTTGGAGAGAGTTTCACTATGCAGCCTTGGCTGGCCTAGAACTCACTATACAGACAAGACTAGCTTCAAATTCATAGATAAACGTTTGTTTTTAACTGCAAATAAAGAAACCTGGCAAAGAAATAAATAAACAAAATTTAAACAACAAAACCTCTGGAGAGATGGCTCCGAGGTTAAGAGCACTTGTTGCTCTTGCAGAGAACCAGGGTTTGGTTCCCAGCACCTACGTGGTGGTTTACAACCATAACTCCATCTCTGTGGGATCACACTCCCTCTTTGAACGCTAAGGTGCCATGCACATGATGTACATATATACATGCAGGCAAAACACTCATACACATAAAACAGATAAATCTTTCAAAGTATAAAGAAAGAAAAAACAAAACTAGCTATACCAGGTAGCTCATGTCTATAATCCCAGCATTCAGGAGGCTAGCCAGCCTGAGATTCACAATGCCTGTAATTTCAGTTCTAGGTGATCTGATGCCCTCTTCTGGCCTCTGGAGGATCCTGCACAGACTTGTGCAAATATACACACACAGGCTCATACACATACACATGCTCGGGATCTCGTTCCCCAGCACAAGGCAGGCATTGCCAGTGAGACTCCAGTCAGCCTGGGAGGGAACTCCAGCTTTAGCATTTTCAAGGCCTTCCACACTTAAAACCCGGACAACTCTATCTTCCACACGTGCAGAAAGCAGCCAACAGCACTGACTCTGGAGCCGACCGCCATGAGATCTCATGGTTTTTTGTGGCTGTTGTTGTTGTTCAAACACAACTTCTGAATCACTCTTTGCCAACGTTTCTTTAGTGTTGCCAGACACTCTTGGATTCCATACAAAGTCAACTCCTTAAATGAGATGGTCAGGCATGACCCGCAAGTGTTCTACCATTGAGCCACATCTCAGCCCTTGCAAAGTGCAACTGAGAAGCAAACACATGTGACACGTCCCGCTCCCAAACGGACCAATGATCTGTATGTTTTCTGTGAAAACATTTTGCCTAACCAGGTGGTTAGCTAGAACTGGTGCAGGAAACCAACACTGTAATGCCCCCCAGACCGACAGATCTTACGTCCAGCAGACGCTGGATAGTTACCTCATGAACTTGTCTAGCAAATCTTCTACCCACATGTGCATTCTCAGGGACTGAAATCCATAGCGCCATACCAGCTTAATCATGTTGATTATAAACCAGCTGCTCTCCTCAAACACCAGAGACTTTCCATTGTACACTCCCACCAGGCCACCTGTAGCAGGAACACTGGAGAGACCTGCCAAAACAGAGGAAGGGGCTTGAGAGACGGCTCAGACCTGGGTTCAGTTCTGAGCACCATGTCGGGCAGCTTACAACCACCTGTAACTCTTGCACAGACAAACACCCCCGACACACACAGATTCATAATTTAAAAAAATAAAATAAAATAATAAAATAAAAATTTTTTAAGGTTTTTTTTTTTTTTTAAGGTTTTTTGAGACAGGGTTTCTCTGTGTAGTCCTGGCTGTCCTGGAACTCACTCTGTAGACCAGGCTGGCCTCCAACTCAGAAATCCACCTGCCTCTGTCTCCCAAGTGCTGGGATCAAAGGCATGCGCCACCACTGCCCGGCATAAAATAAATCTTAAAATGATACAAAGCAAGACAAAACTAGAGGAAAGGTAGGCCAGTGGTTTCTACATTGGTCCAAGGAAAAGGGAATTTGGGAGACCTGTCAGGGACTTTCTGGAGTGAGTGACTTAGGGGCCATTCCCAGGTCTCAGGAGACACATTAGAGTTCTATTTTTAGAACAGTGTGGACACAGTACTGACTGCTCGATCCACAAACATCCACAAACGGACACAGTAGGGGATAGGTCAGAAGATCTCACACATGTACCAAATGAAACCCACTAGTCTCAGTCACAGAGAGGGAAGCATCTGCCAGGCTGAGAAGGGCGGCTGAGGAGTCAGACACATCCCACCCCTACTGGAACCTTACTCTGCAAAACTGGGAAATTCAGGAAAATGGAAAAAGGCCAGAGTTACACAATATTCCCTAAGAGAAGGCTTGCAGAGGCCTGCCAGACTTCCGAAGAACACAGCCCGCTCCTCTGCTGGCAATGTATCAATCGTATGTCCCTGTGAGAGGACCTGTCTCTGTACCCTTTTGAGTGACTTCAAGCCAAGTGTTGGAAGCCCGTGGAACTCACTTTCTTGGCCGCAGAACACTCTAAGGTTTCTGCTAGCTCAAAAACACTCTGATTTCTCAACTCAAAGCCCTGGGTTTAAAAACTGACACCAGGGGGCTAGTAAGATGGCTCATTCCCAAATGGATTGCTGCCAAGCCTGACCACCTGAGTTCAATTCCTGAGACCCACACAGTAGAAGGAAAGAACTGACTGGATCAGTTGCCCTCTGACCTCTATACACACCCTGTGGCACTCAGACCAACACCCCGAACCCCACAGTTATACAAAATAAATAGCTAAAATATAACTTTTTAAAATTAAAAAATTTTTTTCTTTTTAAAGAATTGACAGCAAGAGTCACTCTCACTCCACCCCATGGCTGTAATTCCAGAGAGCTGATGCCACACAGATAGCTAGAGTCTCATTACAGGAGAGTGGCTCAAAGCTAAGCTGGGACCAACTGCTAAACCCCACACCAAGAGAAACAGTTTCACCAACTCCTCTGTAGAAGACAAAGCAGAAACATTGGTTCTCTGTGTTAGAAAAACACACACGGCCAGTCACACATAAAGCTGCTTAGTGCTATGAAATCACATACCCAGCTCTTTGACAAATCGCTTCATGTGCAAATTCAGGGGGTGAATGACTGACCCCCCTGCCTCGTAGTCATGACCTTGCACCTTCAAAGTGGCCAAACGGCCCCCGACTTCTTCTCTTTCAAACACATCAATCTTCACGTCCTTCCCAAACTTCTTCCTTAGATAATAGGCCGAAGAAGTACCACCGATTCCAGCACCGACTATTGCTACACGGAGGGGAGAAGAGGAAAAGAGGAACCGTTTGTTTCCCCACTTAGCAGCGTGACTTTTGTTTTTGAAAAGCCATTAACCATAATAGACATTACTCAAGACTAAAACTAACAACTTGGGGAAACCTGAGGACAGGGTTCTCTCTGAAGACACAGTCCGTGAATCTAGACAGGCGCTATAGATGAAGTTAAAAACTGACAGTAGGTCAAAAGGTGCCCAAAGATCCTCACAGGTCTTTGTGGAGACACCACCGGACTCACGGACCCTCCTGTGCCCAATTCCTGTGGAAATACGAATGGGCCCCTCCTGCATGCAATTTAAATAAAGTCGCCGCCATCTTCGCCCAGCTTTGTTCTTTGTCTCTCTCAGGCCGCAACACAGTGAACTATCCCGAAAGACACCCAAGAATGAAAGCCAGAGACAACCAAAGCCACGAAGAGACCCGGTTCTCCGGCTAGCTGCAGCAGTTGCAGCCTCATAAGCAGAGCGCAGGTGCGGGGAGGCGGTCCCAGCCCTTCTCGGGGGAGGGGATCTGTGGGTAGGGAAGACAGACTGATCCCGGTGCAGGGTCTGAGTGCCTCAATCTGCCGGACAGACAGACTCAGCTTCAGGGGTAGCTAGAGGAGGACTTCCGAGGGCGTCCAACTCCTAGAGCTGAGGGCCACCCAGGCTGGAGCTGCACGGATACCGAGTCCCTGGCTAGCACACGCCTCCAGTGGCACCGCTCCAGACTCGGGAGCGCACGGCCCGGTCCTCGGAACCCCGATCTCCACCCTGCCCCGGGAAGACCGACTTAGGCATCGCCGCGCCTCCGTATCCCCCGCACCTACCGATCCTGCTCGGCGGAGCCCGGGGCTCGGCGCTCGCCAGACTGCCCAGACAACACAGCAGCAGCCCCAGCCCGAACAGCGAGCCCACCGGTGCAGCGGCGAAGCGCCCCATGGCCTCCCGCAGCTGCAGACTGACCGCGGGTCCGCCAGCAGACCCTGCTCTATGCGTCTGCGCGAGTTCGCCCCGCCTAGGCCACGCCCCAGGGCCCACGGCCACGCCCGCCCACCCCACCCTGCTCCTTTGCTCCCCAGGCTCGCCAACCTTGTATACCTTACCCTGATTCGCTGTGTCCTCCCCACTCCCCCGAGGTCTACTCTGGTCCCAGAAGTTCACATCCAAGGTGCAGGTTGAGTCCCACCTCAGCTCTCCTTCTTTCCCGCCTCTCCTGAAGATGCATCCTTCTTCACAAATACCCTCTGCAGTCCCCCAAATCGCGTGCTTGCAGAGAATGCACGTGGCCAATCTCAGTCTAAACCAGGCAAACCGGCTGCAAACATTTCTGAAGTGAGTACTTTGTTCCAGGGACTCAGCTGCGTGACAAAAAAAAAAAAAAGAAGAGAAATGGGGTATTGTGAAGTAAGGGAAGCAGAACACGGGACCCACGTCCATACTAATAAAGTTAGAACACCACAGGGGCCTCTCACATAAGGTCTGTCTTCAAGTTGAAGACAATTGAGAAGACTCAAATACAAGAAATGCTATCCACCTACCTCTAATTACCTAAAAACAAAACACTAGGGAGGGTGTATGGGGGTGTTGGGGGGGTGCTGGAGACATGGCTCAGTGGGTAGGAGCACTTCCTGCTATTTATTCCACCGGACCTTCTTCTGGCACACTTTTAAGCATAGCAAAACAAACAAACAAACAAACAAACAAACACCACTGGAGAGGTGAGATGACTCAGTGACTAGTAAGAGTGCTACTGAGTTCAGTTTCTGAGGCTGACAACTGCCTGTCCCAGCAGTGCCAGGGAAACTGTCATCTTCTTTTGACCTTCCAGGGCACCAGAACACACACAAACACATAAATAAAAATAAACACACACACAAAGACAAAGGGCTCTTTCCTCCTTTCTCTACCTGAGGGATGTGGGTTTATCACCAAAGGCAATTTTAGACATCTTAAGTAAAATTCCTAGGAAGTCATTACTAGTTTGGCCTGAGCTACTGAACTGAGTGGATGGACAGCATGTCAAATCAAAGGGGAATCCACTTCGGAAGTTGCATGCTACCAAGGTGAACTAAATTTTCTGGTTGACCATCCTAGGAAAGGGAGCTGGTGATATGCCTCTATTAGCCTGTGATATGCCTCTGTTAGCAGGTCAGATAACGATATCCCTATGCCCCAACCTTCCCAAAGAAAGTGACTTCGAAACCAGTCAGCTCTTTGTTCCCAGCTTCTGCGTTCCTCTGCCCTGGGCAGTCTAACCAGCCAGGCTTCTCCTCCAGATGTGGGGAGAGCTGTGCTATATTATAGAACAAGGTGTTCCCACTTCTAGCCAGCTGAGACCTGTCAATATCTTGTAGTTTTGTTTTTTCCACAGATTTTTGTTTTTAAAACAGAATCTCAAGTAACTCTTTCTACCTCCTGTGTGCTGGGATTTGACAAACTTTCATCAGCCAGAAATTCACATAAGAAGCTTGACCCTGGAATCTTTCTCTTGCAGTGTATTCGCCTTCTCGTTTCCAGCCTCAGGAACTCAAACTCCTCGCTGCCATCTCACACCTTGTCGTGCCTCTAAAAGCTGACTACTCTTTGAAGGTGTCTTGTATCCCACACCAGCTTCTGGAGAGCCATTCATTCCCAGGAGCAGCTTTCAATTTTCTGTTTGTTTTTCCTCTTATTTATTGAGACAAGGTCTCACTCTGTAGCTTTGACTGGGCTTGAACTCAAAGGATCTGCCTGTCTCTCGACTCCTGAGTGCCGAGACTAAAGGGCTATGCCACCATTTGAGTTATTTTTTCTCTTGTTGACGTGGTTTTGTTTCAGGGTCTGTCTTAAACAAGGAATCATAAAAATGAAGACAAATTATTTTTTCCCTCTCCCCTAAACTGATGTCATACTATAACACAAACACACACATACACACACACAATGTGTACACAGAATGGGTACTGAGGAGATGGTTCGCTCTGTAAAATGCTAGGTTTGCAAGCATGAGAACTTGAGTTCAGATCCCCAGAGCCCATGTAAAAATCTGGATTTGAAAGCATGTGGCTATAATTCCAATGCCGGAAGACAGGATGATCTCTAGGGCCTGCTGGCCAGGCAACCTAACCTAACTGGCAAGCTCCCAGTTTAATGGGAGACCCTGCCTCAAAAATAAAGTAAAAGCTGGCTAGTCATGGCAGCGGTAGCTCATGCCTTTAGTCCCAGCACTTTGGAGACAGAGACAAGCAGATCAGAGTTGGAAACTAACAGGGTCTGTCAGAACACAGTCCAGGAATGGAATCTTCTGAGGAGAATTCTGAGTGCAGATGAGAACACTCCAAGAAAACAAGACCTTGTGACCTCAGTTTCTTCAAATCATGGAATTGTTCTTGGAATGTGTTTTCATGCTCCTCCTAGGAATGAGATTTTGTCAATTACTCAGTATTGCTTGTTGTTATTCAATTAAAGGTTTAAACTGGCCTTCTCATGCCTCAATGGAAAAAGATGTTTTTGCCACATGTGGCTCCTCCTTGTGTTTATATACAGTTTGAATTCATGAGAACTTTACTCGTGTGGTTATTTATTTATTTATTTATTTATTTTATTGATGAGTACACTGTAGCTGTCTTTAGACACACCAGAAGAGGGCATCCAATCTCTAACCGCTGAGCCATCTCTCCAGCCCGTGATTTTTTTTTAAAGATTTATTCATTTATTTATTTATTATATATGAATACACTGTAGCTGTCTTCAGACACACCAGAAGAGGGCATCAGATCTCATTACAGATGGTTGTGAGCCACCATGTGGTTGCTGGGATTTGAACTCAGGACCTCTGGAAGTGCAGTCAGTGCTCTTAACCACTGAGCCATCTCTCCAGCCCCGTGATTTTTTTTTCTTAATCCTCATATAAATTATTGATGTTCCAAATAAAGTTGGCCATTGCATGAGATTTAGTCTGCCTTGTTTATCAGATCCAGTCTCCCAGGTTCTACTACATCTAGATGGGTGACACTGGGCTACAGACTGAGTTGATCCAGGACATCCAGTGCTACATAGAGAAGCCTTGTTTCAAAAAGCCAAAAGATAGATAGATAGATAGATAGATAGATAGATAGATAGATAGATAGGTTGAAGATGCATTTCAGGAAGATATTCAATGTTGACTTCTGTCAGGAAAGCTATAGGCTCTAACATAATCCCATTTTCTCTTGCCCCTCCCCCCAAACACAAAAGAAACAATATATGAGCATAAAGCACAGTATTAGTGGAAGGAAACTGAGTTGGATATAAAGTAAGGTTGAACTTGGGGCTAGCAGGATAGTTCAGCCAGTAAGGTCCAAGCCAGTGTGGTTCAAGCCTGGTAACCAGAGTTTTATATCCTGAACCCACATAAAGACTGGAGACATCCAATCACTTCCACATACACACTGTGGCCTGTATCAAGACAGGCCTCATTTAGTCTGTAGTATTTGGGCAAAAGCCGATAGGAAGTGAGGGAGCAGGGCTGTGTAGGTAACAGGGGGGAAAGCAAAGAGAAAGAATGCATGGCATGTTTGACAGAATGCAGGGGTGGAAGTGCTTAGGGACCAAAATGCAAGAGCTGCGTTTAGGAGCACAGAACTCACACTGTCTACACACTGCTGAGGAAGCAGAGCTGAGAGCTGAGGCTTTTACTTCATTTTCTAAAACACTATGCCACAGGAGTTCAGTGCATTACATGCAAATAAGCCCTTGGTAAATATTTGTTGTTTGATTGGAATCTGTCCTGTTACTGACCTTGAGCCTAGTGTCATATTTGGAAACTGACTTCCACTATAGAAGCCATGTGAAAGAATATATAGGAAGTTCTGGGGGGGGGGGCTGAGGTGTTCCTATTCTGCACCCTGGTCCTTTCAGAAGAACTATCCAGGTGATAGACTGGAAACCCCCCACACACACACACACATACACATACACACACACACACACACACACACACAGAGAGAAAGAGGCAGGTGAGACCACCTCTATAATCTCAGGACTTGGAAGGTCAAGAGTTCAAGGGAGCCTGTTTTACATAAGAACCTGTTTTTCTTTTTCTTTTTTTTTTTTGTTTTTTTGTTTTGTTTTTCGAGACAGGGTTTCTCTGTGTAGCCCAGGCTGTCCTGGAACTCACTCTGTAGACCAGGCTAGCCTCGAACTCTCGAACTCAGAAATCCGCCTGCCTCTGCCTCCCAAGTGCTGGGATTAAAGGCGTGCGCCACCACCGCCCGGCAAGAACCTGTTTTTCAAAACAACAGAACAAACAGCAGTAGCAATAAAGCAAAACCAAGAGAGAAAATGTTACCACATACATAAAGTATAATTTTTGTTTGTTTTGGGGATAAGGTCTCCCAATGCAACTCAGGTTGGCAGGCCTCAAACTTTGATTCCTCCTGTCTGAACCCAGAAAGGGTTGGAGTTACTAGCCTGTACCAGCATTCCCACCCTATGACGTGTAATATAGCACACATTTCCTCAAAGGAATGTTGTCTGAAAAAGCAGTCTCTTTCAGAAGACTCAAGACCACCAAGAAGAATTCCATGGAAAGACGGCTCAGTGGTTAAGAGCATCTGTTGCTTTTCCAGAGAAGAGGGTTTGATCCCCAGCATGCACATGGCAACTGTCTGTAACTCCAGTTCCAGGGGATCCGCCATGCTCTTCTGGCCTTCTCCGAGACCAGGCACTTATAAAACAAAATAATAAAGACTTAACATTTTTAAAAAAGAACCTACAGAGTTGGGAAGGGTTACTTTAGAGCAATTTACTCCACAGAGAGGCCATTAGCAAATGCAGATAGGTTGCACGATGTTAGGAGCCGCGTCCGCCATTGCAAGATGGCGCCGGTTTCCTGCTTCCTGGTTCTTCTTGCGAGCCTTGCTTGAATGTGTGCCTGCGCAAGGCGCGAAAACCAGTATGCTAATTTGGCGACATCATAAGAGCCAATGAGTGTGTGGCACGTCTCCTAAAGCT